CATATGATTATCGGATAGTCAACTAGTCCTTAAAATCTCTAGTTCTCCCCCCCACCATACATAACTGATTATTAACCTGCGGGACTCATTGCCATAGGATACTGTTGTGGGCCCAGAGCCTAGCAGGATTCAGAAAAATGTTTTGACAATTTGATGAATAATAGGAACATGCACGCTTATTGTAGATCGCCTTTATGCATCATATGATTATCGGATAGTCAACTAGTCCTTAAAATCTCTAGTTCTCCCCCCCACCATACATAACTGATTATTAACCTGCGGGACTCATTGCCATAGGATACTGTTGTGGGCCCAGAGCCTAGCAGGATTCAGAAAAATGTTTTGACAATTTGATGAATAATAGGAACATGCACGCTTATTGTAGATCGCCTTTATGCATTTTAATCCTATCAAACTGTATGCTTTGGACAACCACTAATTGCTTGGTGGTGCAAAGAAAATTCCTTTACAGGCAGTTTATTCCAAAATTACCCATTATGTGGGCTTTTATGGGATTCTTGCGTCTTCTTTTGAAGCATTTGGTGTTGCCCACTGGCAGAAATGGGATGCTGGGCTAACTTGATGTCAGAGCTGAGCACTAAGGTAAGAACCCTGCAAATCTGTGGATATCCATTTCATATCTGTGTGGGTATGTGCATCCACGGATATCAGTGCGGCTATCCCGTGACTCATTTTCGTGGATATAGATGTGGATGCGGCTATAAAGATAATTGCTATGTGTGCTACATTCAGCAGCATCCCAGGCACAGCCCCCATAAGTGCAGCGGCACATTTGGCCACACAATAGTTCTGGTTTTGCCAGATACATGTGGAATGTTCAGCAGAATAGCAGATGTGTTCTATCTAGGGCTGGACCCAAGATGCAAAATGTTGAACCTGGGCTTTCTTCAGTCCATCTTGGGCATAGGGTTTAGCCAGCCGAATTCAGATTAAAATTATATCCAATCAAACTCCTATCCCCCATGCAAGTGGGAGCTTGGATATGGAGTTTGGGTTCAGGTGCATTGGTTCGTCCATTCCAATTATATCTGAATTGTCAACAACGTGAAATGTCTGTTCCAGACACACCTGGAAAATTCAGTACCTGTGAGAGTGGCTGTTTGATTGTCACTGCTGGGGAGAGAGCCTATTGCTGGGTGTTTGTGTAGGCTGAATGGTGGCATGAGAGAGGCACTTCTAGGAAAGGGGCATTGTGAGTGTTTTGGCTTTGGAGAAGGAGGTGTATATATTGCATGGCCTTTTGTAAGGTCCCTTATGGGAGAGTTCTGTAGAATATACTAGCAAATGAGAACCTTTCTAAAGATCTTTTTTTAATCTTATCCTATAGGATTTAATTTCCTATGACATTTTGTGAGGTAGTTCTAAAAGGCCTATGGAAGGGTTCTCTTGCAGTCTTATTCTGCAGGTTTTGAGGAGTAAAATCTAGAAATCCTGATTGTTTCTGTTGAATCCAATTTGTGTCATCCCAGGCAAATTGAATTACTCTTCCAGAATGTGTGTCAGCAAGAGCATGTATGTTCTTGGGTGGTTCATGTGTGCCCAGGAGGAGAGGGCAGATGCACATGTTAGATGACAGGCAAAGGCCTGTGGGTGTTGGTGTTTGGTTTGTAGGATGCTGTGGTTGTTGACGGGAGGCATGTGTCTCGGGGTGGCAGCATGGGGTGTGTGTTTGTGGGGAGGAGTTGGGGAAGTGGGTATATATGTGGGGTGGATTAGGAGACAGGGTGTGTGTGGTTACAGGGTGTGTGTGTTTGGGGGGTTTGGGAGTAGAGGTACGTGTGTTATGAGACCAGGTTGGGGACGTGACCTGGCTGCAAGCGGTGTTTGTACTGGCTTTAGATGTCTGGGTGCGTGTGGGTCGGGGGGGAGCTTGAGGGTGGGGAGGAAGGTGTTTATGCAATGTGTCTGCATGGGGGCAAGGTGTGTGGTTCATAGGGATGGGTGGCTGCAGGCTATGCATGGGAGAAGTTGGGAAGTGGGCGTGGGCAGCAGCAGTGCAGTGGGCAGCAGACATTTAATGCTAAGTAATGATGGAACTTTTTTCTTTCTAACTTGTCATCTAGATCTCCTACCCCCCAAGTGATGAGGAAGACAGCGATGACTCTGAGGGAGAGAACCAGGAGCTTGCTCAGATCGACAGAGGTAAAGAGCCACGGGAGTCGAGCATAAATCAAGACTGCCTTGATGGAAGTGGCACTGTGCCTTACACCTCTTCCTGAGAGAGACCTGCCTTCCAATTCATGTTATCCCTCCTGTGCCACAGGCAGCATGGTAGAATTGGCTGTATCTCCCCAGTGGATGTTTTGCTTACGCTCCCATCTCCAGGCACATCCTCCTTAGCTTGGCAACCTTTGCTCAGGAAGCCCTGTGGGGTTGCCAGAAAAAGCAGGGTTGTAAACAGCGGCTCACAAGGATATCGGTAGAAGAGATCCTTCTGAAGTTCCCTGTACGTGAACCGGTCCCTGTCAATATACAAGTACACAATGGGACCAATGTCAGTTACTCTGTGTGAGTGGCTCTTAGTGAGTCTGGCACTCCACGTGCTCCGAGGCCATGTGTGTACCTGCTCGGTCCTCAGAGTAAATCAGAGCAGTCCTGAAGTCAGTGGGACGACTCACATCAGTGACATTGTGCAGCTCTCTAAGCTGCTCTCTAAGGGCTTGTCAACTCAGGGACTCTCAGGACCATTTACGTGAATTAACTACACTCTGAGTTACGGTGGCACAGGTACAGAGCTGTCATGTTCTAGCATAGACTCTTCCTGCAGCAGCAGAAGGGGTTTTTCTGGCACCTCTTCCAGCCACATTTACTGGGGGGTTAGGTTGGCATAGCTGCAGTGCACCAGTGTGTGCATTTCCCTGTTGACTTAACATAGACCAGGCCTCTCTAAAGTAAAATGTTCTTGGGGCATGTCTGCAATACAGAGACTGTGTTGGTGTAACTCTGTTACCATAGCCTCATAGTGCAGACACCGGACTGAGGGGGAGGGTTTTTTCCGTCAATGCAGGAATATCACCTCCATGAGCAAAGGTAGCTAAACTGAGAAGCATTCTTTTGCTGGTATAGTTTTGTCTATGGGGAGTTATGAGCTATGAGACTCAGGTGTGGGGCTTTTTACACTCCAACTGATGTAGCTCTGTTGAGCTAACTGATCAGTGTAGACCAGGCCTTACTTAGCTTAATTTAGATCTGCTCTACATGAGAAAATTAAGCCGGTTTAACTACGTTGCACAGAGGTGTGAAAAATCCATATCCTTGAGTACTGTAGTTAAGCTGACCTATCTGCCACCTGTCATGGAGGTGTATTAACAGCAATGGGAGAGCCTCTCCCAATGGTGTAGATAGAGTCTACACCTGTGGGGTCCAACACACTAGCCACATGTGGCTATTTGGTCGGTTGAGTGTGGCTAGTTCACTATAGCAGTAGCCATCGTAGTAGCTACTGCTTCAGAACTAGTTGGACACCATGGGTCTACCCTGATGAGCTACAGCAATTGTACTGGTGCAGCTTGTGTAGACAAACTCTTAATCCTCCTTTTTATAGGGAGTTAACATGAAATGAACTAATTCCCCTTTTACTTTTGAATGAGGCTATCCATGTGGTGGGGTTCATGCTCTTTAACTTCACATCTTTAGTCAATTCAGTCTAATTACCTGATGTATCCCTGTGTAGACAAGCTCTAAGAAACATCAGTAACATTAACCTCCTGTTAAGGGCAGGGAAACAGTAGCTAAGGGAGGTGAAGGTCTTAGGGCAGGCTTCTGGCTCACAATCCAGAGTCCTACCTACTGGATGATGCTGTCTGTTCATAGGTTTCAGATAATAGATCTTATTTTTATACACTATTGTGTTACCCACAAAAAACAACATTAAGAGCACATGATTAATGTTGGGAAGTTTAGCTCTCAAAAGTTAGGAAGCCCAGAAGTAAGGTTGCCTTTGCTCCTTTAAATCAATCCCCTTGGGGGTATGCATTTTTAGATCGTTTTTAATTACATGAGCACACACTGCATTGTTTTTTTCCGCAGGACCTTTGGCTCACTGAGTGCACAGGATGTACAATGCTCACTGAATGAGCAGCTCTTCAGTATTTTTTTTTTCTCATCAGTGTGGAGTGTTCGTTATTTGCTGCACACCGTTCAAGCTGCTGTGAAGACACAATGATTCATTTCCTCATGGGTTTTTCTATGGTGCTCATCACTGCACTATCAGAGTGTTTTCACAGAGATTAATGAATTTATTTTCCCAACACACCTGTGCCCCTGTTGAGATACATAGTCCTTGATATTTTCCAGAGAATTTATCATTATTATATAGCACTTTCTGTGTCCAAAGCACAGCTCTCATTGACTTCAGTTGCAGTTGTGCTGAGCTCTCACTTCTGCAGATCAGATCCCAGGTTTTCAAATCAGGCCTCCAGAAAGTGAGGCACACACAATTCATAGGCACCGGTGAAAAGTGTGGTTTAACTAATATACCCGTATCATGTATGAGTGGTGGGCAACTTTCAGCCCAAGGGCCACATGCCAGCCACGGGGTTCTATGTGTGTCCCATGAGACATTTTGTTCACCGTTGACCATGCACAAGGTTGCAAGAGTCTGTTGGTTTTCATCTATGTAGTTTTTTTTCTCACTGGTATTACAGAAGTGACACGTATGGAAAGCAAGAACAGGTGAAGCGCGTACTAATTGCACACAACATTGACTAGGAGACCTGTGTGCTCCCTCTGCATCCAAAGTGCTGCTACCGTTCAGTCAGCCTACCCTGCTGTTTCTAGGAATGCAAGTACAGTTAGCAAAACTAGCCTATCCCAGTAGACTGTCTTGGTTATGACAGTCGTGCAGCCCACTGAGATGGAGGGCCACTCATGCAGCCTACTCACTAGCCTGGGTTGCCCCTCATTGATATCTGAGCTCTGGGAATAGCATGAATGAATGCTGCCCTACAGAACTGGCTTCTTAGTGCCTTCTTCATGAGTTCCCACTTTCTCTTTGCATAATCTCCTGCCTCAAGCTCTAGTCATCTGTGTGTGTGCGAGTGAGTTTTAGCCACTCTTACATGCCACATAGGAAACAGGAGTTGTCCAGGCTACAGTCTCCTCTTCCACTACACAACCATAGTTCCTCCCCAGAGCATTGTCCATCCTGTGCACTGAATGAGGCAGGGTTCTTCATGAGTTCCCACTTTCTCTTTGCATAATCTCCTGCCTCAAGCTCTAGTCATCTGTGTGTGTGCGAGTGAGTTTTAGCCACTCTTACATGCCACATAGGAAACAGGAGTTGTCCAGGCTACAGTCTCCTCTTCCACTACACAACCATAGTTCCTCCCCAGAGCATTGTCCATCCTGTGCACTGAATGAGGCAGGGTCCTGTGGAAAAATGAGTGTACGCTCACTCACGTAGCATCATCTTGTAAAGCATACTCCAAGGGGGACAACTTAAAGAAGCCGAGGCAACCTTACTTCTGGCACTTCCTGACTGTTCAGTGCTTGACTTCACAACCCTTAATATGGTTCTTTTAATTTAGTAGGTTTTGAGTGTGTCATTTCATTGGGGTTTTTTTCTCTAAAAAACCTGAAAATAACAAATTCTATCATGTGGCATCATATTGACACCCATGTGGCACCTTTAGATCCACCAGTGAGACTACTGCCACTTGGGCTAATAAAGTAATGGATAGCGGTAGCAGCTTGCCACCTTCTTTGTGAATTAGTATTAAAAGGCGAGGGCGGGGAGGATGAGACACATGGGCAGTGTTCCCTCTAATTTTTTCCATCTGTGTGCAGAATACATTTTATGTGCACCAAGGCATGAATGGATGAGCACCACTGGTAGAAACATGCTGTGGGTGCTCTGCTAATCATCGGGGTTCCATTTGAATCTCTTCTGAGTACTGCCCAAGCACTCAGGTTACAGGGACCATTCCCACTGGGTTTCACAGATATTTGCTGACAGCAGAGTAATGTGAGCCTCAGGTCGATGCCTGGCATGGAGAATTTCAGCACAAATGGTTAAAATTGATGAAGTTTTAAGCAAATGAAAAGTGGGATCTTTTAATGAAGTGGTCAGCAATTTTAATAATTGGAGGGAGCTGGTAATGCACAGGTAGCTAAAAACACATGCCTCTACCATCAGAGTCACAAGAGAGCTACTTTAAAGAACAATGCTTGTAAGTCTTGTATTGTCTCAATGCGTCAACTGCTAGAAGGCAACGTCACCCGCTTGGTCACATGCACAAAACCAGCGCATTACACAGGTATCCTGCTTTGTATTAGATTCAGGTGCTGAAATAACCGGTGTATCAGTGTACTTGCTGTACAGTCGGTGTTCAGTTAGTGGCTCTCAGGCTGATGTCCCGTGATCAAGCTTGAGGATGTGGAATTCCAGCAATATGCTAATGAACAACCGAAGGACTTATTTGGAGGAGCAAAGAGGCAAGATCAGAAGCTAATAGGTCCTATTGTATATCGGGTGTGATTTAGACATGTCCTACCACTCATGTTTCTCTCCTTCCCTCAGAGAGAAGACGGAATTGCACATTGACCCCTCTTGCAACCAACCAGCTCCAGAACCAGGAGAATCAATGCTGTAAAGTCCGGGCCCTTTTCCATGCCAGCCTGGATCGCCACAGCTCTGAAGAGGAGTTGGAGCGCATCAACCGAGAGTTTGCCACCGAGAAGCGCAAGTGGTCACAGGTCAGCCGGCTTTCCTGCTGTGGTGACAGCAACAACACCTCCTCCAGTGACGAGGAAGTGAAGAACTTGTGTGGCATGTCCTTCCGGCCTGTGGTGGAACAAGCCGATGGTCTGCATGCTAGCCCTAGCCCAGTGCTGTTCAGTGCCTCCCCTCCTAAGAGACTCCAGCCTCTGGTGCGGAACCCAGCCTCCAGGCCTCTGATCTTCACAAGCGTAGGAGCTGGCTTTGAGCAAGTCATGCCTTGTAAGAGACACCGGCAAGGCTACGGGGACAAAGTCAGCAGACCCAGCCTTGACCTGGAAAAAATGCAGCAGGTAAGGTTCAACTTCATACAGAAAAGTCTGCAATTCTTGATTTAGTCCTAAATAGAGCACAAGGGTCTGGCCCAAGTGGAGATTCTAGTAGAATTGCTCGGTAATAGCATATAATTAAATGAAGCATTCTTGTGGGGGAGAACACTTAGCAACCCCTTCCTTCCCCCCTACCCCACAGCATTTAACTTCAAAAAGAGGAACTACACAAAAATGAGGAGGCTAGTTAATTGGAAATTAAAAGAAACAGTCACAAAAGTGAAATGCCTGCTAGCTGCATGGGAATGTTTAAAAAAAAAAAAAACCCACCATAATAGAGGCTCAAATAAACAGTATACCCTGAATTAAAAAGAATAATAAAAGGACAAAAAAGTGCCACTGTGGCTAAACAAAAGAGTAAAAGAAGTGATTAGAGGCGAAAAGGCATCCTTTAAAAATTAGAACTCAGACCCTACTGAGGAAAATATAAAGGAATATAAACTTTGGCAGGTCAAGCGTAAAAAAATATTAGGCAGGCCAAGAAAGAATTTGCAGAGCAACTAGCAATAGATTAAAAAACTAAGCAAACATTGTTTTCAGTGCATCAGAAGCAGGAAGCCTGCCAAACGACGAGTGGAGCCACTGGATGATTAAGATGCTAAAGGAGCACTTAAGGAAGACAAGACCTTTGCAAAGAAGTTAAATAAATTCTTTGCATTGTTTTTCATTGCAAAGATGTAAAGGAGATTTCTATACTGAAATCATCTTTTTGGGTGAGAAAACTGAGGAACTGATTCAGATTAAGTTGTCAATAGATTTTTTTTTTTCTTTTTGGGGGGGAACAAAGTTACAAACAGCAGTATCACCAGGACCAGATAATATTCACCCAAGAGTTCTGAACAAACTGAAATATGAAATTGAAGAACTACTGTGACAAGTAACTTGTCACTTAAATCAGCTTCTGTACCAGCTGCCTGGAGGATAGCTATTGTGATGCCAATTTTTAAAAAAGGGCTCCAGAGGCAATCATGGCAATTACAGGCTGATAAGTCTTACTTCTGTACCAGGCTAATTGGTTGAAACTACAGTGAAAAGCACAATTATTGGACACTTAGATGAACATGATTTGTTGGGGGGGCGGAGTCAACAGGCTTTTGTAAAGGGAATTCATGCCTCACAAGTCTATTAGAATTCTCTGAGGGGGTCAACAAACATGTGGACAAGGGTGATCGAGTTGGTTATAGCATAGTAGGACTTTCAAAAAACCTTTGACAAGGTCTCTCACTGAAGGCTTTTATGCAAAGTAAGCAATCATAGGACAAGAGGGAAGGGCCTGTGATGGATTGGTGACTGGTTGAAAGACAGGAAACGATGGGTAGGAATAAATGGTTAGTTTTCAGAATGGAGAGAGGTAAGTAATGGTTTCTCCCAGGGATCTATGTTGGGACCAGTGTTTTCCAACATATTCATAAATGATCTAGAAAAAGAGGCAAAGAGTGAGGTGACACAGTTTTGCAGATGGTGCAAAATTACTCAATAGGCAAGTCCAAAGCAGACTCTGAAGAGTTACAAAACTGGGTGACTGGGCAACAAAATGGTAGATGAAATTCCATGCTGATAAATGCAAAGTAATGTACGTTAGAAAGTATGATCCCAAGTAGGCATACAAAATGATGGGGTCTAAATTATCTGTTACCGTTAGGAAAAATGTAGGAGTCATCATGGATAGTTCTTTGAAAACATTTGCTCAGTAGGCAGTTATAGACAAAAAAAAGTTAAGACTGTTCGGAACCATTGGAAAAGGGATAGATAACAAGAAAGTAAATATAATGCCACTATATAAATCCATGGTAGACCCACACTTGGAATACTGTTTGCCTCCTCTCAAAAAGGATGTACTAGATACGGCAAAGGTACTGAGAAGGGCAACAAACATGATTAAGGATATGAAACAATTTTCGTATCAGGAGAGATTTAAGACTAGGTCTATTCAGCTTAGAAAAGAGATGACCAAGGAGGGATGTGATAAAGGTCAGTAACATCATGATTGGCATGGAGAAAGTGAATAAAGAAATTTTATTTACCCCATTCACATAAGGCAAGAGCCGAGGTTCAAGCTGTAAAATTAATAGGCAACAGGTTTAAAATGAACAAAAGAAAGTACTGCTTCACACAATGTACAGTCAACCTGTGGAACTTGTTGCTGGGGATGTTGCCACGGATTTTGTGAAGGCCAAAACTATAATAAGATTCAAAAAATAATTACTTTAATAGAGGAGAGGGTCATCAATGGCTATTAGCCAACGTGGTAAGGAATGCAACCCCTTGCTCTGGATGTCCCTAAGTCTCTGTCAGATGCTCCGGGTGTATGACAGGTGATAGATGTCTTGATGATTGCCCTGTTCTGTTTATTCCCTTTAAAGCACCTGGCATTTACTGTTGGAAGACAAGATACTAGATTAGATGGACCATTGGTCTGACCTAGTTTGGCTGTTTTTCTGTTCTTATGACTTATGAGAAGGAAGCATTGCAAGCAGAGGGTAAATGGAGGCCTGGTTGCTGCTGGAGTAGGGTTAGTAACTCCATACATTGCTTGATTTCATGTGAGGCTACCCTCAGTTGCATTAG